AAACTTTATCAATTAAAGAACAAGAAAAAAATTAATAATAGTTTGTTAGAATTTATACAAATATCTGAAATAATGAGCATCCAAAATAATTACGAGCATCCAAAATCATTACGAGCATCCAAAATAAATATTCGAATAGGGAGTCAGAATTACTGTTAGGAACCCTATCTACGACCATAAATTATTGGAGACAATTTTTTGTTTTCTTAAAGAGTCCCGTACAGTATAGAAGATTAAAAAAATTTTCATACATCTAAAAGGCGAATAAAAATGCTGGTAACATTAAATGAGATTTTATCACCAGAGAAAGTGTACGGCTAGCGTATGATTTGCATATTAACATAATTTTTTCCATAATAAGTGTGTGATTATATGGACGAATTGCTGCAGTATTAAAAAAAAATAATTCGACTTTAAATACTCGACAGAAATAACGTTAAATGGTATGTGTATGCCATAGCCAGCAGATTCAAAATTTGATTCGAATTACTTTGCTAATAGCATTCATAATCTTATCTTAATTATTCAAATAATTGTTAAGGAATAGCTTGGCCGTTGTGGTGGAGAAATTACAATTGGAATGGATTTAAAGCGAGCTATTGTTCAATAATATAATTTGTTTACATACGACTTTTCTTAATATATTTATATGAATTATTTTAGGAAAAAAAAATAATTCAAAGAATGGTTCAAAAAATAAATTTTACCGAAGTAGATAAACGTGACGCCAAATTCATTTCAAGGTTTCCTTTTAGATTTAGTAATACAGGAACCAAAATAAACAATTCAGGTATTTTATTAAAAACTGGCCAATGCTATTTTATTTAATAATTGATTGATTAGTTGATTAATTTATTGATGATGAAAATATAAAATAAAAATATTTACTTGAACAACATCTAAAAGCCAACCGGCTAACATTAAACCAGCCACTGATATTATTAATGGAGGCATTGCCTATGTTGCATGACGTAATAAATAATCGGATTTATTAAAAAAAAAT